GGTATTGCACAAAAGTGCAATTGGTTTGCTATTCATTTCTGCCACAAGAGGATATAACAAGCTGAAAAATGCGGAAGTGGAGAAGGGCTTCACGTCACGCATAGCTAATTTTCTTCACTTAGCAAAATATCGCCCATAAAAGTACACATTACTTGGGCCCTAAACGGTTACAAGATCGTAAACTGGAAAATAAAAATACAAAGTATTTCTTGTAGTACAGTAAGGAAAGCTATCCTTGTGCTTAAGTAATCAAGCACTACACCATGAATAATTATGGGGGAATGGATGTATATATCTACGTTTTCTCGACCTCAGCACTAGTTTGAGGTGAGTAGTCAGCTTCAAGCCCCGACCGCTTTACCACTGGGGAAAGAACCCGCCATACACATTGAATAAGAAGCTATGTGGGACCCAGAGTAGGTCTGGACGACGTGGAGAAGAGAACATTCTTGATCCTACCGGGACTCGAATTCTGCCCTCAGCGTCGTCCAGCCTATAGCCAGTCGCAATACCGACTGAGCTATGCCGGCTTCCCTTTGTACTGCAGTTCAGTTTGGAAATTACTTTACTGAAGTTATATTCAAAAACTTACCCGGTCTGTCGAAAACAAGGTTTTGGCAATCGCCCTTCTCATCCACGCTGCACTGATACACGACACCCGGCTGATAGATGTCGCGCTGCCCGCGATATGTGGAATTGCCTCTCGGAGCTCCTACCACCAGCCTACAATACAATACGTATGAAGAGATCCATCACAGATTCGAAACCTACATTTCGTAACGATGGCGTATTGATACAGTGCTCAGTTTTCTCTTCATTATCCATCAGACAGATTTGAATTAGGTCGATGACAAGAATAAGAAAATCGATCATTGTACCAGAGATTTTACAGGTGGTATAGACATTTCTGAAATGGATTAACAACAAAGAATTTTCATGGTAAACATTTAGAACGATTACCTACTTCCAGATCCTGATGCATCTATGTTGATGATGTTAGTATGCTGGGGAAGAACATAGGTACCATAAAAAACTTGTGAAACTTTATTAGACGTTGGTATGAGGTGAGATTATTAACAAATGCAGAAGAAACTGAGAAAGTATTCAGGTCTCCTCATCAGGAAGTACGTCAAGACCACATCAGGTAGGTTATACAGAAGTTCATCAATTCTTAATAATACAGCANCTGCTTTGCAGTTCAGAATCGTTTAAGTTTCAGTCCGTTATTTTAATAGTGTAAATTAAAACTCCGTGGTCTGTGCAGTTCAGAATCGTTTAAGTTTCAGTCCGTTATTTTAATACGTGTAAATTAAAAACTCTGTGGTCTGTAGTCCGCAAGCGAAACATACAGACCGAGCGACCGCCGCTTGTCGGCGAAGTTAGTGCCAACTTTTGCGGATAGAGGGTGTCACATGGTCAGCACAACGGATCCCCACGGCCCTTAATCTCGGTTTTCTAGACTGTGTGTAGATTAATACACATATAATTATAATTTAAACGGTTGTTTTATACGGATGAAAATATGACTAAGGGAGGAATATAGTTTGAGAGCACAGGATTTGAGGTTTTCTCACCGGTGGTTATGATATAACACCGTGTAGTGTGTTGGAAGTCAATCGACTTTTGGAGGAACATATTTCCGCCATCTTCAGGGTCGAAGAATTAACGGACTACATGCAGTTATGTTGCAGAATATTAAAATCATCATATTTTGAGAGTGACTAAGGAACAAACGGTAAAGAGAACTTTGTGACGTAGGAGAGAGGGAGTGAAAAGGAATATGATGCAGCATGTATTGGAGAGATATGAAACAGATAAAGAATGTAAGAGGGAAAACTTAGAAGAAGCGACTACTTGAAAATCTACTTATTGGGGGCAGAATATAAATATGATGTGAAGATGTGGATTGTGTTCATATGTCTCTGGATATTGTCCGGTATCGGTGGCTTCTTAAGCTGATGCTAAACGTACTGATTCTGTAAAAGGCATGGAATTCCTTAAATACTGAGCATCTACCAGCTGCTTAAGAAGGACCCTGCTTCCTGAAGTCCTTGAGGACGAATAATTTAGAGGCAAAACGAAAGAAATGCAGAGGATTCCTCTTAATAATATAAAATTAAGATCAGCTATCATGAATTTCGGTTTGCGATTTTAATATCAAGATCCACTGAAGTGTCCATCCTATTACTCCTTATCTTACACGTACATAAAATTATTACGCGGTGACGTCACACAGGATGTCCGAATAACCGGCCGGGCATGAGGAAAGAAACCTCGTATTGTTAGTGTAAATATAGATATTGCCCATTGCGTTAACTCGTGCCATATAGACTCTGGATATGTAGTAGAAGAGTACAAAGTTGAATTCTGAAGAAAGCAGTTGTCTGGGATGTAGCGCCGTGTAAATTGTGTTAACCGACGTTTCGGAGGAACGTATCACCTCGAGCTTCAGGATTTAAAGAAGAAAAAAAGACAGCACCTTCTCACGCTGGTTCGCTAGCGGATTTCTCCTTTTTCTTTTTCTTCTACCCTGAAGATGGAGGCGATACGTTCCTCCGAAACGTCGGTTAACACAATATCTACACGGCACCGCATCCCACAAGACTGCTTCCTTCATAGTCACCGCCGTGAAAACCTCAAATCTTACAATGTTGCAGTCTGTTTTGGATTACACGCACATTACAAAATCGACTTTTGCGATTTTGAGCCTCTCATTGGCCTTCATGTTTATTTCAGATGCAAATGTAGAATTCCGACATACATTTAGTGTTACATACCCAGCAACGTTACAGCTACCGCACTGCACAGACGGAAATCATACTGCTTAAGTATTCCTAGGTATTTCAGTCATTCAAGACATCGCAGTATGTTTCAAATAAAATTGTAATTCTTGATTGAATCTGTTCTTCATATCAGACACCAATATTATGTATGATGGACCGTTTTTCAGATAACTAATACAATTCAATTTGAGGTTCAACTACTGGGCATATTCGAGCTCCACATATCAAATTAAGACTTATAGAATGCAGGTATAATGCAGTTAATTTATAAACTTTAGAATAATTACTTAACTTGTACGTTTCTCCAAGTCTAATTAGAATGATCAAGTCAAGGTGGATGAGATAAACAGGGCATATAGCACGAATGGAGGAGAGGAGAAATGCATGTAGGATACTTGTGGTAAAGCCAGAAGGAAGGGACCACTGGGAAGACCAAGGCGTAGGTGGGTGGACTATATTTAAATTGATCTCAGAGACATAGAATGGAATGGTATGGATCTGATTGATCTGGTTCAGGATAGGGGCCGCTGGTAGGCTCTTGTGAACACGGTAATGAACTTTGGGTTCCATAAAATCCTGGGAAGTTCTTGAGTAGCTGCAGAATTTGCAGCTTCTCAAGAAGGGCTCAGCTCCATGAGCGAGTGAGAACAATTAGTAATATTTGTGTACTTACCAGTACTTATGTTTTTGCTTCCGCAAAACAACTGTGAATCCGTAGTAACTCCCAGTCTGATTTTCTGGGTCAGAAAATACTAGAGCATGTCGCAGATTTAAATTGAATCCATTAGTAGTAATAAACGTGAGGAATACAAAGTATGACGCACATATACACACCGACCTTGCATTCATTGTCTGTCTTGGCAAGACACGCCACGATATCACCAGCACTGCTCTATTGAGGAAGTGAAAACCTCTTCTATGGAACGTTACTAGAATAACGCCACATCCGGAACCAGTATCCTGCGATAAACGGCAGAAGCAGTCCTCTTTGTGGTACAGGGTTTTCCTTGAAAATTTGTAGTACCTCAGTCGATAAAGACATGACCTGCTTTTGCGGAACACAAAACTCCGCTATCTGAAATTATTTGGGGGGGGGGGAATTCATCAAGTCCACTCCATCACACTCGTTTCCCTAAGGTCCACTTCAATATTATCCCGCATCCAAGCCCTTTCAAGGGATATCTTCCCTTTAGGAGTTCCACTTACTATTGTAACGTGTATAGCTAGGCAACGATGCGACAAACACCTCGCGTAAGCGCACTCTGAAATAGGACGAATGTTTATAGTTTGTTGCTAGGCAACACTCAGGGCGCCAATTGACTGGAAAGATAGCTATAACGTGACTGTTTTCTATGTGGTCCTCGCCGCGACCATTACTATACAGTGGTTCGGTAAACACGTTTCAACAATAGAGGCTGTTTTCTGCGTGGTCGGTGCGGAGGCTATATAACGACAGTTACAGACAAAACAGGTTTCAGTTTTTTAAGTGACAGTGATAAAGTTCTGAGTTTTAAGCGCAGATCCCTTCAAGTAAGTTCTCGGTAGGAGACAGCCACGGGAAATTCAGTTTTGAGTGCAGCAGAGTGCAGTTGATTTCCAGAGTGGTTCAACAAGATATGGCAAGAGGACTTTTTAGTGTTTTGAAGTGCTAGTTTCAGTGCTGAGATCCGTTGCCAGGACGGCAACGACGGAGAATCCTAGTGCGTGCGTATAACAGTGAATTATAAATTGTGGAAACAGTGATAGCGCTGTATTAAATGTGATTAAGAGAGGTTGTAGCCAGAGTGCAAACAAATCCAAACCCGTCATTTTTGTCACGCATACCACCCTACACGTGATATTATAGATGCATTTCTTTTTTCTTCCATCCATAATACCCATTTCTCCACTTAGTTACCAAGTCATCAGGTCTACGCCCACGAAGGCTACAAATGATAAAGCTACTCAGTATGAGTCTCTTTTCCTCCCTCACAATGAGAGACCGAGTCTCATACACGAATCAAGGAAAATAATGAATCACAGTTTTGCATATTTCATTCTTTACATGTTCAGTTAGGACACGATAGACAGACGAAACCCTGAAGGACTGAGAACCGACTGGTAAGAAGCATTAGATACCATATTCAAGCACCACATTAGGGATGAAGGGTCACTGAACATATAGAGTAATAACAAATTTCCTATTTTCATAATATTACTGAAAGCTATAACAATAAATATAATAAGATATTCTTTATTTGGTTCCAATATTGGAAAAATAATTCTCAAATCAATGTAGTAAAATCATTATCATCATTACAATCATCTTCACGTCGAGACAAAAAAAAACACTTTCTGTTCTGTCTTCCGCTATCCGCCTCTTTTTTGGGGCGACCATTTTGTCTTCGTTTTCGTGTATAATTGAAGGCTTGTTTCGATATTTTTGTTTCGTTCATCCGTTGCAGATGTTTCAACCACGGAGTTCTAATCCGTTCTTGTTTCCTGCTCCTCTTAGGATATAACCATTTATAATCTTGTTCATTATTGTGCATCTCTCATCTGAGCTTAACACTTTTATTTCTGAGGACTGTGTGTTTGCTCCGGCGTTCTCTCTGCTTTCCTGGCGGTAATGTGGCTACTGACAGCGCTTCGCCAGAGAGATCAGGGTGTAGTTACTGAAGCCCGGGCGCATTCTGTAGGTTACTCACGCAGCGAGACGGCCGTTCTACTGTTAGCCTTGCCTGGTGACATGCCCGTAGCATTTCTCAGGGAAATCATTCGCTATGATAAACGTCAGCATCAAAATAATTATATGGTACAAAAATATGACTAGATGAAACTCAAGTACAAGTTTATAAATATCTGGGCACAGCACACACAGATGTATTTGATACGTTAATCACAGGTTAGATTAATGGATATATGAAAATGTATGGATGGATTAAATGGAAGAATTGATGAATAAATATGAGATTATCAGCGTTAATTCAAATGAATGAATAAATGGGTGAAAATTTACATTACATTTTCAAATGCGCGCATGAATTCTAATACAAATAAATTATACGATATAGCAGAACACTGAAGTAGCAGTTGAGAATTATATTGTTCACAATTTTAAGTTCCATTTTGATTTAGTTTGCAAGCAGCAAAGATAAAAGATAGACTGAGAGGCTGAAAATCTCATAATTGGAGGAAAATTCTGTGCTTGGGTAACACTGTCATTACGTGGGCTTATTCGAAACGTCTGTAGTTAAAGCTGCATGTCATGAAAATGACAACATTCGGGGAAAAGTTCTATGATTCTGAGATAACTTAACGGCGCTTTTTGAGCTGTACAGGTCAAATGGTGCCGAAAATTAGGATCAAGATGAATGATAAATTGTGTGAAATGAAGTAATCGTGGCTTATTTTAGGACAGTACTTCAAAAGAAGCGCGAGTTAATGCCATGTGATTAATAGAAATATAGCAAGGTCTTCATTCCGTTGCGTTTATAAGAACCAGCCAACAAGGGCTAGAGCCTCCATCTTGTGGAACTGAACATAATGCTCACAAGAAGACATGACGAAGCTGCTGTGGAACTTCAGTCGCCCCCGTCTTCAACTCCTACTTCTTCTTCACCCTGAAAATAAAATTGCACCATGCATGTAAGTTCAGATGCAGGACTAAGCTTAGGGTAGAGGCCTATAGCTGATTTAATGAGATGCTTATCATAACACTTGAAACTTTGACGCCATCTGCATGCCGTGAAGATTCCTGGGTAATTATACGTGTCACGTTCCGGACCTTTACCCTACTTCATCAGCGAATTATACTAACAAGGCCGATCACCTGATAATAATTCATTGCACAAAGTTATTGAGTTTAATTGATTAAAAACAATATCATTAATAGAACCTGGGTATTCAGACAAAAATCTCTTTTTTTCCTCCAGATATATATCAAATATTTAATTATAAATGAAAGCGGCCTCCGTAGTCTAGGGGTAACGTCGGAGGTCGTGGAATTTTTAAGGGCGGAAAAAATTCAGGGAACAAGTCCTCCGGGAGGGACTTTAAGCCGTGGGTCCCGTGTCGTAGATTTACGGCACGTAAAAGAACCTCATGTCTCTAGGGACCTCTGAGCTAAATTAGGCAAATTTTCCCGCCCAAGTAGTTTCCAATGCCTCCGGTAGATGGGGAAAGTATTAGGTACCACTGCCAGATGAGGACCGACCTCGCTGACAGAAAGGGACTAATTATCAAATACCACTGTCAGTAGAGGGCCGACCTCGCTGGCAGAAAGGGGCTGATAACGGACACCAGTAGACGGTAGAAATTAAAGGGGGATGCACAATGGACCAATAACTGGTCTAAGTGCTTGGGGAAACCCACCTCCTCCAACAATAAATGAATGAATGAATTATAAATGAACATCCTACTCAAGCACGTCTAAGCTGCTATTACATTTAAACATCGTTCTATACTGATTAATTACAAGATATATATTTTCTGTCTTACTGACTAAACTATCTTAACCGACGCAGCCACTAGAATATTTACCATAGTTTCATTAACAAGATCGAAAACAAAGAGCTAAGTGATGAAGCTGATGTAATGTAGTGCCTGTAGATGCCCATTTGTGGCTTACTGTCCGTATAAATTATTGACATTTTCAAAGTAATTGTATTCTGTTAAGGAAGTCGTACCAACCAGTTACCCAACAGTTAATCAGATTCTAAAACGTAATTACATATCAAAATGCGCACATATTCTCATTCTTATGCTTGTCACAGCATCAGTCTTGTAGTTGTCGGAAAGTGAGTTTATTGCACGATGAATTCAATTTTGTCAAAATTAAAATATCGGAAAATATGTTCGACAATGACTTACACAAGACGCATACTGTAAACTGTGTACTTCTTTAACACTCATGCCTTTATTTTGCTGTATTTATTTTGTGGTTTGCTTCAGAAGCTCTCGGTACATAGACTGTACAGCATCCGATGGTAAAGTGAGTGATGAAAAATTAATAAGAAAGAATTTGGAACGAAGCGGGAATGACTTATTCAAGGTAATATTTCGGCATTTATCTGGAGGGACTCAGAAAAATTACAAAATTTGAATCAGAACAGCTGGGGTCCCGACAGAAATTATAAACTAACACCTCCTGAATACAAGTCTAAAGCGTTATCACTACATAAAACTGATCGGTGTTTCACTATAACAGAATTCACGTTATAATTCTATTTGTAACAAATATGTAAACGAAATAAAAGGTTTAATGTTACTTATTTATTCTTGCAAACCGCCTCTGTGGTCTAGTGGTTAGAGTTCCTGGCTACAATTCCAGACGTCCGGGTTCGATTCCCGGCGCTATCAGATTTTCTGAGAAGTAGTGGGTCTGGAACGGGGTCCACTCAGCCTCGTGATTATAATTGAGGAGCTATTTCAAGGAAATAGCGGCTCCGGTCTATAAAACCGAAATTAACGGCCGTGGGGATTCGCTGCCCTGACCACTGGTCCAGTGATTGAGGCTAGCTCTTTCTAAGGGAACGAACAGAATAGGTGTTTTACCTCACCTGAGGACGGAAACAGATCCAGTTTCCGAAACGACGTGTTTTTCTGTTATCTTAAAACCAGGACGATGGATAAAGTCCAAAAACCCAATATATCAGTGTGTTATACACCATCGTCAGAATCCTATAGTAACTACAACTTATCTTCCTTCCGACGCCTGATACAAACCTCTTTCAATGCCTGTAACTCTTCTTTCTTCTCCCTCTTGAAGAATCCAATCTGAAAAACAACAGTATTGTACTTAATATTCGACCCCTTCGAATCCCCTGTCCACTTAGAACAACACGGGAATGTGGCAGATCTGAGTTTCTCACAGACATGGCTATGAACAACATGATATTCTGAGTTGTAGCGCCATGTTTCTCGGTGGAAGTGCGCCGACATTTGAAAGGAACGTCGGTGAACTTCAACATGGCGTTACAGAGCAGAATATCTCACTCTGCAGGAATATCATGTTTATGAATATTTGGTTATTATTATTATTATTATTATTATTATTATTATTATTATTATTATTCGGAGTCAGTAATGTTCTACCCCAACAAATTTTAAATTTTAAATATAGTATAACTGTTAGTATTTTTATTATTTGCATGTCCAATAAAACAAAATGAATTATCATTAACATCCTCTGAAAATCTATACCATTCATTTCTTAATTAAATATTTATGTTTCATTGCTCAATTCTTAATAACACTTAGTTTAATGATAATGAAATTATTACTACTGTTATAATTATCATTTATTTGTTTGTTTGTTTACTTTCCTTCAATATTGTTTCTTCCAAGTACTTATCTGTAATTTGTATTTGACTTTAATAAGTTTGTCTATAATGTAATTACTTTCATCTGCACTGTGCTGTGTCTGTAATTGGCCTTGCGGCTGTTGACTCGGCACATAAATAATAAAGAACTGAATTGAATTGAATTATTATTGTCATTATTATTATTATTTAACTGCAAATGGGATTCACCCGGTGGCAGTGGTACTACAATAAGACAACAGGCAAATAGCACACATAAACACTTTCAAACAAAACATAGCACACAAACATTAGTGGAAAAACACACAAACATTAGTAGAAAAACACACAAATATTAGCAGAAAATTAACATAATATGTAATAAACTAAAAGCAATGAGTGCGTACTGTCATGTTACATGGTTAACCTGTCATATACAGCGGTAATTTTCTATCACCTCGGTTTTGGTTGAAGAAACAACGTTCCAGAAGCTTACATTGTTTCCTTCATTAGAGAGAGGCATTAGCTCCATACATTGAATTCAATGGAACAGGTGTTACAACATTTACCTGACGATAGAAATAGCGCCATTTTTCGAAATATTATGATTCTTGATCCAAAGTTGAGAGGAATAAAGATGTCCACCACATGTCACTTTAGTAATATACCTTTGTCACAAACATTTTGATTCGGGTTATATTTAAACTACGTTAACACTAGAAGTGATTTAGTAGTATCCTTCTCCAAGGCCGCGCCGTAGCTCAAGCGGTTAGTCGCTGGCTTCCAACAGCGACGGCCTGGGTTCGATCCTGGGTCTGGTCAAGTGGGATTTGTGGTGCACAAAGTGGCGCTATGGCAGGTTTTCTCCGAGTACTTCGGTTCCCCTGCCAATCTTCATTCCACCAATTGCTCCACAATCACTCTCACCTATCATCTGGGGCTGGTACAATAGGCCAGAAGTGACCGCAGTACAAGGGACTTAGTCCCACCCCACTAGCAATAAAAATCCTTCTCCAAAATTAAATTGCGGTGAAACTGCATGACATTTACACATGAACCGTAACTTGCATTTGAAAACTGAAATAAGGAAATAAATGTTGATGTTAATTTTCTATGAAAATCCGATAGCAGTGTTTTAAGCCAGTGGTATGCGTACCCTTCGGGGTAAGCGAAAAAAAGCGAAATAAATCTTTAGAGGTGGGGGGGGGGAGTACGTGAATAGACATGAGATATCTGAATTTCTGCATTACGTTTATCTAATAAATATATTTGTGCAATTAGAAGTTTATTAACTGCAAATAATATCTTCCTATCAACCAGTTATGATTAAATTATTTAAACAGATATGTTGCAGCGGTAGAAAAAAAATTATGTCTGAGAATTTTAGGTACATGGGGTACTTGAAAACATTTTAAAATGGCGTGCTTTGTAGACAAAGGCTGAGAAACAATGTTCTGTACCATGAAGACGAGGTGCGAAGTCTTACCTTATGGAGAGCCGTAGCAATGAGGAGCAATACCAGAAACCCACAGATGACGGCCAGCACTATGATCCACGTAGCTACACTGCCTTCCGGGATTTTTCCGTGAAACACTGTGTTCACAGATACACCATCCGGCCTGCCAGGACAAGGACTCAGTTATTAGTTTGCGCCTACCAAACAACTCACTGTTAGTATTACACAGACAGGTTTCTTCTTAAGATCTCCGAAAATCTGTTCACCCTCACATTTCATGTATCCTCTATGGATCCAATTTCCTACAATGCTGACGGCTGTGAAGGCAGGTGTCTGTGTATTAGTTGCTTTAAAACATATTTTGAAGTAAGCAATCCATTTTTAATATAGAAACAGGCCCTTCATGTTGGGCATTCTCCATTTTCTGAGGCACGTACATTTAACATACAAGAAGTTTAAAAACCTGACTCTTGTATGGTACTCAGGAGATAGCACAGAACTGTATTTATACAAACACAAAGTTGTCCAAAAGTCAGTTAACATAAAACATTCTTTCGTATTAGCGGTAATGTTCCGATTTAAACCTGTCAGTCAGTTTGTATCACAGCATTGTGAGTTGGGCACTGAACATGGAGGACCTCATTTAGAAATATTCTTTATTAAATTCAGTTAAGTATTGATGAAACTCGTAACGTATATCATTGTACAATTTACTAAATAGTTAACTGAGTTTTGGGTCACACTGTATTATGCAAGAATACTTAGCCAGAAAGTTCAGTGAACATCCACCTGCTCCATATTGACTACGGACAGGAGACCGGGATTTGATTCAGATCAGAGGCATGAATCTTTCTCTTCGCCATTATGTTAGGCCAGATCTGGGGGCATCCAGCCTCCTAACAGGTACTGACAATAAAGTGGTGATATCATGAAACTGGCCATTCACTTTCGTCTAATGCCAAGGTTAAAAATGTGAGGGGCTTCGCTTCAGTCCGCCATATATCTTCATGGCGTCGTCCTTTTTGACAAAAACAGCTTTGACTTTGATCTTTTATTATCATAATTCAGAGCCTTCCTTAAAAATTGATAGTTAATTTATGGTTAAGACATTTTTTCCTTCCCTGAAAATCCGAAAGTAATTATCATTATTCACAAATCACATCGTTCTTTATTTAATTATCCTATGTTGCTTCCTCTTTCCTAGGTTCTTATTTTCTCCTCATCACTTCATTCTTACATACCATCCATCTGTATTCTTTGTTTGAAACTAGTTATCACAGTCGTGTAAGGTATTACATTCCTTACATGATTAATTATAGTGTAAATTTTCAAAATACAGTGATTGAATTTTTTAATAGTGTCCATCTTCATATTTTTCTTTAAAAAGTTTCCGGGACTGGAGACAGGGACTAGCTTTATCGTTTGGCGCTAACTGAGCAGGCTATTTGCGTGAGGATGGCGACAGACTCCGATCACAGGAACGTTATTTTAATAAAACGGGACGATGGAAAACTTCCAAAATGTCAATCATTGAATTAATATCTCACTGTCATAAATTTTATACATAAATTTTCCAAATATTTTTCATTTAAGACCATAATTATTCTTATTCCAGTCCATTTCCAAACATGTACAATCGTATTTTAGAATAGTTATTCCAGGATAAGTAAACCATTCTTCACAGAAATTGTAACTCACTCGTGTTCCTCAGGTTGTACAGGACCTGACGGATTTACGATGCTTACTTTCCCGCGGGATGTAAACAGAATTATATCTCTCTTCTCGAGGGAGGGTTCTGGAAAAACAACACAGCTATCACTATAACATATATGTATTTAAATAAATCATAAATATTTAGCTGAGATATTTGACCACTTTACACGTCCTACGTTGGAATTCTGAATTTAAAATTTTCCATTTCATATACATTTAAAATATCGTGAATTTCTCATGTCTCCCATTCTCCAACACATTACGCCCACTTCATTCTCCTCGGTTTATTCCTGCTATTACTACTACCACTACTATTATACTCCACCGTACTCCACCTGCTATGGGAACAAGAGTTTGAGACGCAACCGTGACGTCACCATTAGAAAGTTACAAGATTCTATTTCCAGCATACTTCCAGTAGTCACATGTTGATGTGGAAATTCAAACATACATACACAGGTCTCTACTACTACTACTACTACTGCTACTACTACTACTACTACTACTACTACTACTACTACTACTACTACTACTACTACTACTACTACTACAGTAATACCGCTGTTACAACTATCGCCGCCTACTACTACTACTACTACTACTACTACTACTACTACTACTACTACTAGTAGAATTACTGCTGCTACTACTACTACACTTTCTCATCGCCAATTTTAATTAACTGAGAATAATTCAATTGTTATTTGTGTTTTCATTATAAATATTACATAGTTACTCATTATATTATTATGGGTTAATCATCTGGACAGAATGGCGTGAGAAAGTTTTTGGAAGCCATTTTAAACTATCAGACTAGGGGAAGAGCATCAAGAGGCCGTTCGAGGAAATGCGCCGAGAAACTAAGTCCATGGCAGGACTCCAGATCCATCACTTGACGAGAAGAAGAAGATTATTACCGGCATAATATTATTGTTGCTCTTGTCAACAGCAGCAGCAGCAGCAGCAGCAACAGCAGTAGTAGTAGTAGTAGTAGTAGTAGTATGTAAGTTGCCTAATTTTATCTTTTGTTTGTGTACAATTTTTTCTTCCTTTGCTCCTGCTTACTTTATAATTGGCCTTTGAGCTGTTAAGTAAGCATGAAAATAAATAAATAACTGAATTTAATTGTTGGCAGTAAATAAGCACACACTTACATTAACAAATTTAGATGCATATTCAAATCTGAATTCGAAGAGTTCTCTCAATATGTCAGCATATCTGACTGATCTGATACAACTTAGAGCTGTCAGAGGCTTATCACCTACCATGAATTCCGTCTTAACATACTCGTATTTCCAAATTATATAAATACTTGTTAATATAATATACGGTTTTGTGTATTAATTCTACGTACGAAATATTCTAAATAGTCTGCTTTTTTTACTTCGCTTGNGTGTGGGGGGTGGGGGGGAGTCCAACTGGGTCCATTCGGCACGGCGGCCACTGATTGACCTATTGTTGCCTACCCAAGGTGATTATGATGATGGAGAATTTGGTGGAATGAAGATTGGCAGTGGAAACCGAATTACTCGGAGAAAACCCGCCCTACGGCCACTTTGTCCACCACAAGTCCCACTTGACCATACCCGGAATCGAACCCCGGCCGCCGCGGTGGGAAGCCAGCGGCTAACCGCTTGAGCTATGGCGCGGCCCAAATAGTCCGTTTCCACGAACCTCCATATTAAGAATTCTGAATTCGTTTTTCATATCCCTCGTCACTCCGCACGCACGCGCGCGCGCACACACACAAACACATAGACACATCCCATTATAATCCAACGTTGTTCCGCCACTAATAGTTTGTATAGTTTCACTATTCGTCAGATATTAACTACTACATGTTTCTGCCCTCTTTTAGTCATCATCAGATATATACAACTTTCCTTGTATTCACATTTTTCTCTGTTCTGCTCGTCCCCTTACACTCGCCAATATTTAGAGGACGGGAGTTTATTTTCAGTTTTTCTGGTTTATGTAATACCTCTTTTGTATACTAATTAAGATTTATACTAATATAATTAAGGTTAAAATATTAATGTAATAAATATTAAAATTATAAAACAGCTAAGCTTTCAGTCATCATTTAATTACACTTACCCAAAGTCTCAAGAGTAGGCTTCAGTTTAAAATTAATTAGGGCCCGAGATTTCACGGGTGTAAATGGACCAGCAAAACATCTCACTTTGAAGCAGTCCACTTTTTCACTGGAACAATTGAGAAATAACGTCCTGTTCGATGGCGGTGGCATGAAATTTGGAGATGAAGGCGGATACTCTGATTGCTCTTGAAGGAGTTCAGTGCTGGAGACGGAACGTTTAGCCACGATGGTGTACTTTACAACTTCCGACTCTATAGCATGGCCTTCTACAATTGCCGTTGGGTCGACTTCAACAGCAACATCTCCTTTGGAAGACTCTTCAGGTTTGTAATAGAAGAATGGTTCCTCGGGCTCGCAGCTCACAGTACCGGAGGACGACTGCATTAACAGATAAAATCAAAATAGGGATATAAACCTATGCCTCTTTTTTATCTATTTAAAAGGCAGGAGAACATTTCTTCTTATTATTAATATCCAGTAAGAAAATTACTTCACACTTCTAATTTCTTCCAAATAATATATAAAATTTCAGTTCATACCTTACAAGAAAAACATTACCTCTCCGCTACAAAGACTGACAAGTTACGCTGTTCAGGGAAATAGCCTCTGAGAACCATAAGAAACACAAAATTACTATGTGGGCATAATGCTGAGTTTTAGTATGTCAAAGATGATGGTGCATACAGCAACAGCTGGGCTTCAACGGGACAAAATAAGGCCAATTCTAAATCAGGAGAATAAAAAGACCACGTTTTCTTGTGCTTAATTAAGTTCCAAGCCATGATTATGTATGAGTGGAGATATAACTCCGCTTATTCTTAACTTCGGCCTACTGGTTCATTTCCGTTTCTATTCCCATGCGGAACAAGCACCCCGGTACCCACTGGACAGACGAGTGTGTAAAACTCACAGCAGGCCCGAAGTGGCGGAGGAGGGGAAATTATTTTCTACCGTCGGAAGTTGAATCCCGGTTGCACAGACGGTGGCAGGGTTCACAATATACGAGTACATATACGTACAACTAAATTTCTATCCTTCATGACTGGGTAGAAAAAATTGTACTTTACGTGCACGAAGCATTAATCAGGGGATGATACTGAAGGTAAAATTCGGACTGGAATACTGGTTTTTCTAACAATTGTTGGCCGTTGGCGGTCAGTTACCGGCTTCCTACTGCAGCGGCTCGGGTTTGATCAGAGGTCATGTCTTTTGAGATTTGCGGTAAACAAAGTGACATTGGGGTAGGCTTTCTACGAGTACCCCGGTTTCCCCCCTGCCAATTCTCATTCCACCAAATGCTCCATACTCATCTATCATCCGAGGCTAGTAAAATAGGCCAATTAGTGGCCTACGCGCTAAGTGAACTCAGTCTCACCACACCCCATGGAGATTAGAAAATTGAACAGAGGCTTCTTCGTGGCTTTCTTTGGTATCTCAAGGTGATCGTCAGGATAGTACTGTCACCTCATTTACTTATCATTGGCATTAATATTCTATCATCGAATTTGGTGCTATTTAAATATGCAGGTGAAAAGATTACATGTTGTTTATACAAGCCAAGTAATCTATTCAAAACAGCAATGTTCGAAAAATATGGTACAGGCAACTAACCTCAGGTTGGAAAACTTGCATGAAAATTCTTTCTCCATTTGGTCCTTTCAGTTGATGCGGTATCTCAAATTCAATCATGACTGTCTCAACCTTACTCGGCCCAAGATTCCATACCTGTAAAATATAAAATTATGTACTAGATCTTCCAGATATATAATTTGGCACTAATATTAGATTTTCAAATATACATACGTATCATTGTGGACTAAATGGGGTACGGTTTGAGAGTTGATATAAAGGAATATAATATTTGTAATTATTTATAAAAATGTTCAAATTACCTCGAACGAGTGATTGAGCATCAGGTCTTCCCGGAATGATCTATTCTGAGCCACGTACACTATTTGGTCCTGGCTGGATAATCTGAAATAGGGAAACAGTTTGAGTCCCGGATGTACACCAGTTAGTTTTGCAGAGCTCAATGCATTTGCAAAACGTTGGGAATAAGTGACTAGACGTCTGTTCTCTTCGTTCTTACTCTCCATATCTCTCAGTCCTCATTTCACTGAGTTATGACAACATACTCTCAGACGAGCGAAATTATCGGTACTATTTTGGTGTATTTAGTCCATGCAAGAATTGTTGAGCCACAGAAACAGCCCTTGCTAAATATTACACGCACGCAACAATCGAACAACCGGATTATGCAATCCGTTTCTAGACGGTCTGTGCAGAGGGCTTATAGGAAAATTCAATTCAGAAGCTAGGAGCAGTTGAGAGTCCAGTCGGCACGGCGGCCACTGATTGGCCTATTGTACCTGCCCCGGGTTATTATGATGATGGAGAATTTGGTGGAATGAAGAATGGCAGGGGAAACCGAAGTACTCGGTGAAAACCCGCTCCACCGCCACTTTGTCCACCACAAATCCCACTTGACCAGACCCGGGATCGAACCCGGGCCGCCGCGGTGGGAAGCCAACGACTAACCGCTTGAGCTATGGCGCAACCCAGAAGAGCTTTTAGTTGAGTCCCAAGGTTCCACGGTGGTTCAACAAGAAATGGCAAGAAGATTTCATAGTGTTCTGAAGTGCTGGTTTCTGTGTTGAGATCCGTTGCCAGAACACGACCAGTGAAGATGAAGAATCCTAGTGCGTGTGCAACGTTGGACTGGAAAGAGTGTAGAATAGCGACAGCGCCGTAATTGAGTATGATTAAGAGAACTTGTAACTGAAGTGCCAGTTAATCCAATCATCCGATCTATAACCCGTCACTTTCGTCACGCGTACCCCTCCATACACATGACAGCATCAGAACGTTATAGGTCGACACATGGCTGCATGTCGTGAAGTGTCACAGGTTAATAAATTTAGTTTTACGATCTGATAATTTGGACAGGAGATTTTGTTTTAACAGCCGGCCTGTCTCGCCTTGCGTGATATTTCACATATACTAAAATTCTTTTGCCATTCCATGAACACCGACCTCAGACCGGTTCTTGGGTTCAAGCTCCTATAAGTCACCGATTTTAAAGTGCAACTACCAGCCACTTTAGTGGCTAAAAATGGAGTGACCGTATCTAAAACATCATCTAGTGCTGTTCCACTGGGTAAGTTATTGTAGGGGTAAAGTTCTACATGTGTGAACCTGGTTATAATCAATTGTATATTGTATATTGTGATATTGTATGGTTTCCCTTGGTTTCTCCTGAAGAATTATGGGAAAATATCTTGAAAGAAACCACGGTCTTCTCCATCCGAATTCTCAACTACTCATAATAGTACTTCTACTACGAACCGGATAATATATGCTTTCCGCAGACGAAAAAAAATAAATTAAGTATGTAATAACCAATAAGTCGAATTTTATTCCAATCTTGGTATTCTTTTACGCGCTGTACTTTACTTCCATACGGCAAATAAACTCTGCCGTGTATCTTCTTATGTTTTTATTACGTCTCTCATTCTAAATAATTCAAAATGTATAAAATTATGACCGCCTCTGTGATCTAGTGGTCACAGTCCCTGGCAACAGATCCAGAGGTCCGAGTTCGATTCCCGGCGTTACCAGATTTTCTGAGAAGTAGTGGGTATGGAACGGGGTCCGCCCAGGATCGTGAGGATAACTGAGGAGCTGTTTCAAGGATATGGCGGCTCCGGTCTAGAAAGTCGAGATTAACAGCCATGAGGATTTTATTGCTCTGACCACGCGACACCCACTATCCGCTAAAATTGGTACTAACTTCGCCGACAAGCGCCGGTCACTCGGTCGTTATAGTTCCCTTGCGGACTAAAACCACGGAGTAATTTGTTTTTGTTTGTATAATAGTATAGACTTGATTTACCTACTTTTGTATAGGTGCAATATTGAAAAACAACGATAGAGAGTATTTGAAAATAGTGTGCCGATGAGAATAGAGAGATATTAAACTATGAGGTTGATAAAATAATGGAAGAAAAGAGGGGCGGGTTATGAGGGAGATAAGAGACAAATATGGAATTTAGGAGATACAGGGAGAAGTAAGATAAAATTGTGCCTGTACGTAACTAATTAAGCACCAAGCCATGAAGGCGTACAGGGGAATGGATATATAGACCCACGTTTTCCTAACCTTGGCACTAGTTGGAAGTGAGTGGTCACCTTCTCGCCCCGGCCGCTTTACCCCCGGGGAAAGAGTCTCCCGTACCCATTGGATAGGAGGCTGCGTGGGCCCCAGAGCCGATTTGGACGGCGTGGAGAAGTGAAAATTCTTGACCTTACCGGGACTCGAACTCCAACTCCTCGTCCAGCCAGTAGCCAGTCACTATACCGACTGCGATATCCCGGGTCTTATAGAGAGAATTACAGTATTAAAAAGAAGTACCATTTGAGAATGTAGGCTGGATCAATGTGAATCAAGATAGGCTCCAGTGGGGAGCTCCTTTGGACACAGTAATAAACATCTAGTTTCCATAATGGGTGGGGGTGGGGGGGATTTCTTGACAAACTGGGCTTTTCAAGAAGAAGCATGGAGTTAGGTCATGACCGGAGCACAAGGTATATTTGGAGAGGTTGGGGAACAATTCAGGCGTTACTTAAAATGTCTGCTTGAAAACTGAGTTTCAATTTGGTGCAAAAATACTCACCCTGTTATCCTCATATCAGCCTTGAGTCCTACTGGCAACACCAATTCCTTGTAGTTGTCGTTGGCATTTACTTCATTCCCAACGCTTGTTGCATTCACTGCGAATGTGAGTTCCTTTGTGTCAATAGGCACATCCCGTGTGTTAATCAGCAAGTTGATGGTGTACTGTGAAGTAAATTTCCACATTATCCGTGAATTGCTAGCCTGGACATCGCTCTTTTGTCATTCAGTAAGAAGATACGTAAGTATTTATTGTTATACTTGAATTCTAAAAGCATTTTTAATTTATTTTCTATAATTTCAAAAGTTTTATAGAAACTATTTACACTGTTTCAGTGCCTTCCCATAACAATGTCTTGTGATACTTCGTCCATGCCTTTATGGAAATTAGAACTTATTCACTTGAATTACGACTGAAGAAAGAAACACAATTACATTTCTCTCCAAGGGGTTTCCAATGTCGCAGACTAGGATCTGTGTCTCGCTCGTATGCTTGTCTATCGAATCATGGCAGATGGGAGGAATTCGGACGAGAGGCGTGACCCTGGGGATGGCCATGGCGACGTGAGACAGGAAAGCTGGTTCTCCAATATTCAGAACCTCCACCTCCATCTGCAAGGTGGGCTGCTCCCCCAGAATAAATTCGTTCCTGTAATGTTGTCGTCACATATCAGGCGTTTCTTATCATCTATCTTTTTCGGACTGAAGGAAAACGATAACATGGAGATGAAGAAAATCATATACTGAATAGTTTGAAATTTTGAATTTATTAGTTCACATTTTAGGGCAAAAATTTGCAATCACAAAATTTCATATTTCCAAGAAAAACACCCATTTATATTTATATGTGGCGCCCAGGTTGGTGACTCTCAGAAGACCAGCGATAATTTTCTAGAATTTTGTCATTCTTTCTTTTTATTGCTAGTGGAGTGGGACTAAGTCCCTTTTACTGCGGCCACTTCTGGCCTATTGTACCCGCCCCAGATGATAGGTGAGGGTGATTGTGGAGCAATTGGTGGAATGAAAATTGGCAGGTAAACCGAAGTACTCGGAGAAAACCTGCCCCAGCGCCACTCTGACCACCACAAATTCCACTTGACCACACCCGAGATCGAACCCAAGTCGCCGCGGTGGAAAGCCAGCGACTAACCGCTTGAGCTATGGCGCGGCCCTGGAATTTTGTCTTAGAACGAACGTAAGCAACAGTAGGAAAAAAAAGTTTTTCGATATATTGATCATTAGACTTGGAAACGTTACACCATTAACATGAAAAGTTAAACAGTTCCGTCCAGTGTGACTGGTGAGGATTTTTCTTATTTCAATTATTTATGCCCTTACATGTTTCGGTCTTCAGAGACCATCAACAGATCATTCACAGATCACAACATGATCATTCACAGATCCACATGACTTCCTCTTTCCTTGCATGAAATATGGTAAATGTACTTACTTAATTCCAATAAATCTTGCATCAGCTATGAGATCAGGTTCGCAGATATCCCCTTTACACCCTGTCTCAAAAGCCACCCTCTTTGTAATATATGTAGGTTTGCTGGCGTCCACTACGGGACAAGTCATGCAGAACCCATCTGAAATTCATAGTCATGAATTAATCTTATGCTAAGATACACAGGTAGTATGAATCATTTATCTCAGGTAAGAAAATTGGACAAGTTTTAAATACAAGCTAAAGGATGCAACAAAAGACCTAATATAAACAAGAACTTCATGTTGAGTAATTATTTAATTTATGTCTGTAGTGATCACATTGCTACAAATTAAAACGTTACTACACTCCAAAAGAAACATACTTGTATATAACAACATCTGTAAGAGTGGGCCTAATGCTATGAAAGAATAGCCACAAAATTGACAGACATGTGAGGTTAATGTTTAGAACCTTTCTGATCTTTGTAATAATTTTCATGGTTTGCAGCTTATTTTGGCACATAAAATACAAGCTGATTTTCATGGGAATATAATCTATATAAGAAAAGCAAACGAAACCATTTCCCTGTTAATGTGAAACTGGTACCATCCTAAAGTAATGATTCTAACGGATTCAGAGAGAGAACTTACCACCACTACTGTCCGGCCTTCCTCTATTGTGTGGATCTGCGTTTGGATTGTTTGCGAGTTCGTATCTCATAATCACATCTATTGGTCTTGTTGGATCTTTAGCACTTGGCTAGTAAAAAGAAAATAGTTTAGTTTATTCCTTAGTTTCAGAAATAATTGAACTAGCTACATACAGTATATGCTAAGCGTACTGTAGTGTACAATGCACTTATCAAGCAATTAGTGGCATTACAAATGTTCCTTCTCAATGAACTGCAGAAGAAAATATACTTTACACCGCAAATACATAAACTTTCCATTTTGCAGCTGTTAAAAGAGGCAATGTCTTTTTTTTTATTGCTAGTGGGGTGGGACTAAGTTCCTTATACTGCGGCCACTTCTGGCCTATTGTACCAGCCCCAGATGATAGGTGAGGGTGATTGTGGAGCAATTGGTGGAATGAAGATTGGCAGGGGAAACCGAACTTCTCGGAGAAAACCTACCCCAGCGTCACTTTGTCCACCACAAATCCCACTTGACCAGACCCAGGATCGAACCCAGGCCGCCGCGGTGGGAAGCCAGCTTGTGCTATGGCGCGGCCCAATAGGAAATGTCTTAAGCATGAAGGTTACAGAGGCGAGAGGTCACTACATTATCTCTAAATATGTGCAGTCAAAGAATTCGAAACTTTGAAAATTCTCAGAATAAGTTATTCGTAAATTGAAGATGTTCTTGGAAATAAAGATGGTTTCAGTTTTTGCCTACACTTGAAGACACTAATTACATTTCAAATTAGACAGAGCACTGCTTAAACCAATGATAAAATGGTTATGAGACATGAACAATGAGTAACAAAAACAAAATTAAAATAGAAGCAGCAGAAAATGAGACCCTTATTTGGATATACATGATTAGTGGAAACTAAAGGTAGAATAGTAAAGTTACATCTCTACTTAATTAATTAAGCATCATTCCATGAAGGCGTGTGGTGGACTGGAGGTATAGCTCCATAATTTTTAACCTTGGCACTAGATACGCGAGTGGTCAGATTTACACCCCGGCCGCTTTATGCCCTGGGACAGAATTGACGGAGCCCACTGAATACGAGGCTGGGTTGGCCCCAGAACAGCTATGGACACTGAGAAGAGAAAAATCTCTTGCCCCTGGCGGGAATCGAACACCGGCTGCCCAGCCTGTAGCTCGTCGCTGTACCGACAACTGGGTTATACCGACTCACTTAGAAGAAAACAAACAAATAATAAATAACAAACAAATAAATTCTCAAAGAATTTTAATGCTTTATTTTTTAGATAAGATTTGTCGTACTCATAGTCCGAGTTTGAAGAATTATTAAAAGAAGGTCCGCAGAAGTATCAGTGAAGCAAAGCGAAAAGAAAAATGTGATTTTAACCAAAACAATGGCATTTACTTACCTTAATTTCAATCTGGAAGTCCTTACACTGAAGCTCTTCAGTACGTAATTTGACTTCATATGTGTATGTGTTAGTATTCTTGGACTCCCCAGAGACAAACTGGGCCCTGCCGTGTGCCAGATCCACAGACATCGTGACTCTGGCATCTAGTTACAACCAAGAAATATGAAATTCGTGCAACATTTATTAATCATTTGGTGACAGCTTCTTTTTTAATTTTGGTTATAATACTGAATATCATGTTCACAAAAAAACAGTGCCATTGGACCCAGCCCTGATGCAGCTGAAACCAAATGATGCCACATCTTATTTATCTAAGATCCATCTCCGAAGTGATTTCTTCCCTTGCGATATGCCGAACAAAATTTCGACTGCATAATTTACTTCGCCATGCATGCTACACAGAAACCATTCCAAACTTCTTAACTGTATTACCCTGACGATATTATAAAGGTAAAGCTCTCAATGTAACAGGACATGGAGGCCCATAGGGTTGTGAGACGTTGAGGGCCCCACATTGTCTAGAAAATCGGCTCAAAGATGGCGGTAATGTTGTCAGCCTTATGCGCCGGCCGCCCTTTACCCCCCAGGAAGATTCCTGGTACTCATTTCTGTTAGAGATTGAGTCGACCCCAGGGCCATAGTGCGGCTGGAAGGATTGGGCGAATCGAAAAATCCACCTCAACGGGACTCGAAACCGCGACCTTTCGGCTTGTAGCATAGTGCCTCAAACAACTACGCTACCGCGTGCCCCCCCGAAAGACATTATGTAAATAGTATTAATTACAAAATAGTTCATTTTTAAATTTCTCAAATCAAAAAGAATTTATAGCTATTTTAAAAAGTTGTATTTCGCTTCTCTGCATCCAACCATTCCCAAATTTTCGAGCAGATCTTTCTTTTTGTGACTTCTCGAACAAAATTTTGATCCATTGTTTTATTTTCCCCAGACGTGCCATACCCACAACCTGTCTCGTCCTTCTTTACCTGACCACGTTGACGATATATGCAGAATACAAGATACAAAGCAATTCATTTTGTGTCTCAAATTAAAACTCCCATGGCTATGCAAAAGAGCTTACAGCCTCTGAGATTCTTACGTGCACCATACATGCGCTTACCAACTGTACCAGGAACGTACGGTCCCGTGTAGGTGAGGCAGGCTGTGCTGGAGAAATTCGAAGTCTTCATGCTGATCCTAGTGGTGCTAGTAGCTAGAGTGGGTTGGAATGTGATGATGGGATGGCCTCGAAGCACGACAGCATGCCCAGACTCGAAAGCCCCTACTGCTATATCTGAAACAAGGCAGGCTGTTCATCACACACGTTATGAACCAGGAAGTGTGTGATATCCTGTCTAATTTGTGTTAGACAGGTACCGGATTCTAATCTTAGCCTAGGCACCAGCAACACTAACACCTGGAGAATTTTCCTGAGATCTCCAAGCGAATAGAAAATCTCCAAATAGGCCAAGATCGCTTAATAATTCTTCAAAACAAACGAGTAGCATTGTATAAGAGGCCACTGTCCTCATTCATGCAAAATAATCCCTGTGATTGAGCAGAAGTTTAAACAACTCAAGACTAAATAAAATTAATACATATAAATACGTTCTTAAGCGTACATACATATGTATATGGGAGCGTAAACACGTAAATAAATACGTACTAATATGCATACATAAGCAGAACAAGTTGGCTCAGTCGATAACGGTTATAACTTCTGTTCTGGAATTTCTTCCATACTTGAATTTCAGCCGGGACTCCTAATATACTAACGGGGAGGTTCGAGGTTTCCTCCCTTCCTCTAGGCGAAATCCGGGACAGTAAAATAGGCCACGATCACTTCCTGCCACATCCATTTCAATTCCTCGTTCAGTAATCACTGTACCATTCGACGCTACATAATCTGAGTATGAGCGCGTCGTTAAATAAATAAATAAGACCTGAATACATTTATTCACATAGATACGGAACAGTAAAGTTGTTGCTGTGCTTAATTAATTAAGCATCATGCCATGAAGAGGTATGGGGGAGTGGAAGTACAGGTCCACCATTCTTGGCCTCGGCTGTAGGTGGAGATGAGTGGTTAGATTCACGCCCCGGTCGCTTTAATCCCTAAGAAAGCGCCGCCAGTATCCATTGAATAGAAGGCTGCACGGACCCCAGAGCCGGTCTGAACAACGTGGAGAAGAGAAAAATCTCTTGACCTCGCCGGGAATAAAACCACGGCCGCCCAGAACGCAGCCCGTCGCTGTACCCACTGAGCTATGTCGGCTTCTAAATTCATTCATAAATAAATGTGTTGATACATAGAAATATAATTAGAGAGTTGCGCTGGACATGAGCGTCGAAAATCAGGTAAGCTGCTGCTACTTTTGTCCTGTTTCAACCGCAAACGCTATGAGTTCACAATTTTGAGCAAAACATCAAATTTAATGAAAATCCATTCAGCGATTCTCAAGTCGTTATATATACAAAAATGGACATATATAACATAGGTGGGAGCGGTGGGAGGGAGGAAGAAGCATAGAAACAAAAAAAAAAAAGGAGGAACATGAAAGAAATGAAGAAAGAATATTCGACCTTTTTAGTCTCAGAGCGTGGTTATGAGTGTGAATATACCGTTATAATGATTTCCATCAACATCTACACCGTTCGATAAGCTGATTCCAAACCCACTGAGTCTTGAATCGATGTTTTCTGCCAATATTTTCTGTACTGGATCAAACACAATTCCGGTTTTATCCCCATGATAGATGTACACAGCTCCCGCGCCCTCGAATGGGGCACCAACTGCGATATCTGAAACAACGAACAACAGAAATAAGCACAGTTCTTGTCCACATGTGCTTTCAGAAGGAAGCAACAAATAGCCATTTCTTTATTGCTAGTGGGGTGGGACTAAGTCCCTTGTACTGCGGCCACTTCTGGCCTATTGTACCAGCCCCAGATGATAGGTGAGGGTGATTGTGGAGCAATTGGTGGAATGAAGATTGGCACGGGAAA